AAATTGCTTTGATAAACAACATCAGCATTCACATGGAACCGTGTGAGGAAAATAATTTACTATTAAGATTCTCTATTTTTGCTTTTATCAATAAGGAAGCTGAAAAGATAAGACTGCTTAAAGAATGGTATTTGTTCAGTGATTGTGAATAAAGTATTGTTGGACCTCACGTGTATTTTCAGAGAAGTTTTAACTGGACGTGTGATGTAACTTGAATAGAGTTGCATGTGAATCGTGTTAGTCACTGTTCTATGTTGTATTGTTCTGCAGTGCACAAATATGACTACTGAACATAGAAGTGTTACATTTCATTAACCTTAAAACCTTGTTGCAGTATATATTCCCCCACTTTTTGTGCCAAAACCATCAATACATTCCATAATCTGTTCTAATAGAAGTTTGCACTTTGATTTTTTTTTTGTGACTCTTGCAGTTTCAGTATTATATATCCCCATCATGAAGGAATAAAGTGTCAGTTGTACTGTGCACTGTGTAGTTTTTGCCTCTTGTTTTGAAACTGAAAGCGTATGCATTTAATTTAATACTGTTTCATGCCATCTTTTTGTGTAAGCTTGTTACATGCCTAGAAATAAAGCCAATTATAGACACTAGTGCTAAAATCTTTAAGTTTGTTAGAAGACCTCTTGACTCTTTAGAAACAAATAATGATTTTAGACTCTACATTTAAGAATAAAAGAGAGAGGGGATATTGCCTATGTGTTCTAGATACAATGGCTGTGAGTCAATTTCATTACTGTCCAAGATAACTAAACAGATGTTACTGTAGTGTGGTATCTTCTCTGTAGTCCCTGTATTTACAGTCAGTTACAAAAGGTGAAACTACAAAGGGTTAGCGGCATGACTGTTATGGTTGAATTATTCACGTACCTCTTGTCTTTTCTCCCCCAGGATGTCAGTAGAGGTGGCTACATTTCAGACATTGCTTTGTGGTAACATGATAAGTGGTCGCATGTTTTATATCTAAGTACTGCTTGTTGTGTGCTACAATACCGCACGTAGGGCTAAATCTCTGTTTGTTCACTTGTGCTCTAATATCATTAGGTTATGATACTATGATTAAGGATCTCGGGAGACAATGCAGTTACTCCAAGCTCCATGGACACGTGTGGAAGTGCTAATGAGCCTCCAGTGCCATCTTGTGGCAATGCAGGATTGTTCAAGGCCTCAATATTGTTGCTTCAACCTTTTAAGAAACCCAAATTAAATTAACGGTATTGTAGCAAAAGAATGACATCATTTTCAGACTGTACAGCTTTGATAGTACTAGGGCTTTAAGCAAACCATAATCTAATACTCTTCTTGCTGGAGAAGCAGGGCTGATGAAAGGTTTTGTCAGGGCTGATCTAAATGCAGCCTTTGTACTGATTTAGAATCATAGAACCAACTAGGTTGGAAAAGACCTTTAAGATCATGGAGCCCAACCCTTACCCCAGGACTGTCAAGCCCACCACTAACCAATGTCACCAAGGGTGAACTGATCTCCCCTCATGGCTGCTCCTCGTGACTTCCAGTCACAGCCACCCCTCCTGCCCCTTCATAGTGGCCCACACTATATAGCTGCCAGCCCTCACAACTGCCCCTGCTCTCCCATCATGATCTCCCCTCACAGCCACCCCTCCTGTCCCCTCATGATCTTCCCTCATGGCCACCCCCGCTCTCCCCTCACAGTCTCAAAAAAAAAACTTGCCATTGGTAGCTGTAGATACCCATTCAGTCTGGGCAAGGCCCTCGATCCTGATTTGGATCTGTAACTGAACCAACCTGTCCCTTCTCCCTGCCTGGCAGCTTTCTTCCTCCTCCCTAAGGAATTGTGGGTGCAGAGCCCTGCTGCCTGCACAGGGGTCAGGGGGTCCTAAGGCAGGACCCAGACCCCTGGGGAAGGACCGGGAAGCAGAATGGGATGGAAACACAGGAGGCACTGAGGTGGAGGCCCCTGGTCTCAAGGACAGGCTCCCTGGAGAGGGGGTGATCAATGAGGGCAGAGGGGGAAGAAATCCTGGAGCCAGTCACTGCTCTGAAAAGCCAGCCAAGCTCTTCTCACAAAAACTGTGCTGGCAGCATTATACCTCTTCTAGGACCAATAACATGCAAGATTTGAACAGCTCTGAGGTGTAAGCAGTTTCCAAATCTCACTTGGAAATTTGCTCTAGAAATGTAGTCTAGATGGACATTTACATTATGTACACACTTGTGAAACCAATGCGGTGTCCAAAATCTTCCCTGCTCCCTTGAAAGAAATTATCTCCAACTTGCTCTTCATTGAGTTTCACTTCTTAATACTGGACTGATGTTAACCTCCTGAAATGAGTTTCATGTTGAGAGCAGTCTTCTTCCAGCTGCCTGGACCATTAAATCCTGTTAGGGTTTATTGGCATTAAGTCTGCTAAAATATATTCTGTTCCTGTATTCTCTATTCACGTGCTCTTTTCCCAATGGCTGAAGTGAATTCATTTTAGTTTGTCCCATGTGTGGCTCAGGAATCCAGAAGCCTAACCCTCCAGACATCACGTGTCTTTGAACTGCACCTCTCACTGAGCACAGTTATAAAATACACTAAATCCAGAATGCACGATGACTGTTTTCATCAGCAGTATTGAACAGAGCCAGCAATGTCTACAGTATATTAGGCACCTTGAAGATGAGGACTTGTAAAGCATTTCGTTAAATGAGCAAGGATGGGAGCTGGGAAGATGCCTGTCTCTCTCTCAGACGTGCTGCAAGCAGCTCACTGGAATCATCAGGGAATTTGAAACCTTTCCACATATGTGGGTGCCTAGCACAGGTTAGGGAAAATTAGCATAGGCACTTGGGCTTGCAAACACCAGCCTGCCCTGCAGCCCTGTGAGCAGCAAAACAGGAGACAAGCACTCGTTTACTTTGTACTTCGGATGTTTAATCCAGAGATACAGAGACAGCTTTGAGCAATTCAAATGCACTACAGCAAATAGAGGCAGCAATTCCCGATAAGGTGGGAGTAACGCCACGGAAGAACTTGGGTTGTGAGCAGCGGCGTGCTGCCACACCGCCAGCAACCAGGGCTGGTGTGGGTGAGCCAGAGGTAGCTCTTGGTGAGCAGCAGCAGCAGGGAACGGAGCCGCTCGGGTCCTTGCTGGCAGCCAGCCCGGAGCCTGGCTGTGCTTTATGACAGCCGGTTCTGCAGAAGTCAGCCCCGCCACCGGGCACAGTCATTACCGTCCTGTCCTTTATAGCTCTAGGCAGCCCCTTCGCTATCCAGTGTGGTTACTGAAGAGCTGACAACGCCCTGTGCATGGCCCACAGAAAGGCAGCCCTTGACGGGAAGAACCCCCACCCGCCTCAGGCCCCTCGCCTCAGCCGCCGCAGAAGCGCAGGCACCGCCCTTTCGCGCACGCGCCGCTGGGCGGGACTACGTGCCCCCCTCCCCCCCACCTCCGACGGCCCATTGGTAGACAGGAGGAGGAGGGGGCGGGGCTCTGCCCGGAAGCGCGACTCTGACGGGTTTTCCGCGGCGGCGGCGGAGGGTTCCGCTATGGAGGGGTTGGGACTGGGGCTGGCCCCGGCCCCGGGTCCGGGTGCTGCGGGGCGGCTGCTGACGGAGGACGAGATGGCCGAGGTGAAGAAGGATGTAAGTGGTGGCTGCGCCCAGAGGCCGCAGTGCCCGGCGTCAGGGCGCGGGGCGGCGGGGCACGGCACGGGCGGGGGCAGCGGAAGCCGCGTCGGAGCAGGAGCCCGAGCGGGGGAGGCCGGCGCGGAGGCGGGAGTGCAGCAGCAGGGCCGGGCCGGGCCGGGCCGGGCCGGGCTGGGCCGAGCCGAGCTGCGCCGCGCGGGGTTCCTCGCCTCTCCCCGGAGGTGGGACATCGGCAGTTTATCAGTTACTGCTAGCTATGCATCTTTTTGTAAATTTAGGGTCCTATGTTTGACTTATTCACGGTTTTAAGTGCTTTTTAAAGAACAATAAAGAATGTTTGGAGTTTGGGTTTAGGTTTTTTACTGGTTTTATCCATACATAATTTTCTTTAAATGCTTTGTCATGGATTTGTGAGGCATGTTTTTCAAGTTACTACTTGCTTCTGTGGACCTGCAAGGTAATACTGGAATACTTAGCATCTAGTTGTTACACCAAAAAAATCATATATAGGACCAAGATAAATCAAGCATATGTATAAACGTGATACGTGTGAATACATGAACATGATATATATATAGGGAGGAAATTCTTTCCTGTTAGGGTGGTGTGGCACTGGAATGGGTTGCCCAGGGAGGTTGTGAATGCTCCATCCCTGCCGGTGTTCAAAGCCAGGTTGAACGAAGCCTTGGGTGGCATGGTTTAGTGTGAGGTGTCCCTGCCCATGGCAGGGGGGTTGGAACTAGATGATCTTAAGGTCCTTTCCAACCCTAACTATTCTATGATTCTATGTCAGTGTGTCAGTGACTGAATTCACAGCTGCATCTTACAGAAGGTCATGTATACTTAATCTTACAGAGTATCCCATAGTAATTGGAACTTGATGGAAGCCTCGTTTGTAGAAATAAATAACATTGATTTTATCATCAAAATACAGTCCAGTGAATCTGACTTCAGAGCTGCTTCTCTCATATTTTAGATGTTGCAGTTTCATGATACAAAGTGCTGGTTCAGTGTAAACATTCACTTTGCTGTTTCAGAGCCGTTCATGTGCCTCTGGTAGCATCACTTCAAACACCAGTGCTGCGTTATCAGACATACCGTGTGCATTATGTGACAGCATACCTCAGAAAGGTGACTTACATGGATAACTGGGTCTGGCTAAGCTTGTGTAGAGGAGGAGTTGTAAAGGCTGGAGTCTTATGTGGGAAGGAGGCAGTGAGCCATGCAAAATCATTGATACAAAGCCAAGTACATTTAAATCTTCTGGTTTAATATATTTACTCTTTCTGTCCCTCATAAACTGTTAACTTGAGGGCAGTGTAGAGGGGAATTCAGAGCATACACACTTCATAGAGTGAAAGACTCATTACTGGAAGATGTTAGTGAGAACACAGTAGTCTTTCTATTCAGTGACAACTCTATTCTTTTAATGTTGAAGCGTTGACTGACTTACATTTCAGAGTTTGTTGACTGACCCTTCTGGTGATAGGATGACATTTCCATGGGAGCCAAAGAAATCTGTATTGCCTTTTACATTTGCAACCATTCAGTCATGGGATTGTTGGAATTGGACACTTCCAGAGCTGCCTAAATTGATATAAGCTGTACTGTTGCACTCTTCTGCTCTTATTGTAGTTGTTACGCCACCAGTAATGCTAGTCTGACTGCACATTCAGCTGTATTGGGTAACAAATCTGGCTGTGGGAGAGGGGGGAAAAAAGCCCCGATTCAGTTTCTTGACTGGATCCTCTCATCCACCAGTACACGGGAAAGGGTGGGAACCCACAACTTCTGTGCAGGGGGGAGTGCTTCTTGCACTTAAATGGTCCACCATGGAGCTGCACTTTTCATTTTTGGGCTTACAATTTAGTGGTGATAGTCTATGACAGGAAGTCTTCCTTTATCTTCCATGCATGCTCACCTGATGTTTTTTTTAACAGCTGTGGCTCTTTAACCACAGGCTGTTAGCTTGGTATTTGCTGGGTCCTAAAGAGCAACTAGAACACATTTAACCTCTGCTATACTTAGTGGAGCAGTACAGGAAGTTTTTTCTTTAAGAGTTATTGGTGCTTTCCCTAGCACCAGTATGCCAGGCAGGATTTTGCTGTTTGAAATAATTTGTCTTAAAGTAAGTCTTTAGCTTTTCTTCTGCTTCTGTTTACTGAGCTAGTAAATGGCTATAAGGCAATGATTTAAAAACTGTTAATTTTTAAATGCTGCTGTTATGGAATCTAATCTCAAAAAGTAGGAGGTTATTTGAATACTTCTTTCAGGAAAGATTTGTTTCTTTCCATCTCTTCTCATGGCTTTATGTAAAGGTGCTTTTCCTTCTGGTGCTCAAGTTTTTGTGGTTTTGGGGATTTTTTTGATTCTTCTAAATCAATTGATACTGGGGGTGTTGTTTTATATTTTCACACTGGTAATAATCAGCTCATGGGTATCTGACTTGTATAATTCTGCGCAGTGAAAAATGTTGGCAGGAGAAACTGACAATTTTTGTGGTATCCTATGAAACAAGAGCTTGTTTTTCAAACACAGAGATGTCATTTGTGACTCTTATCTTTATAGAACAGTAGATACTGAAACCAGAGAGTTGTGAACATGCATTAATTCTGTTCCAGTGTTGGCATCAAGCAGGTTTGTTAATGTACAGCTCAAAATTAGTAGAATTTACATCCTGGTGACGTTCTTATATGCACCCTCTGAACAATGTGGTCGAAGAATATTTTTGTTTTGATGACTACAAATAAGTCGGTCAGTATAGGAGGGGATGCTTTAACAATTGTTTCCTTAACCTGTATCAGAATCATACAGGTTTCAAATACAGGCTTCTAAATAAATGGAGAGACTGGCTAATACTAGTTTATTTTGTTTTTCAGGCATTAGAAAGGATGCGTCCTTACCTATGTGATAAAATCATAGCTGAGAGACACTTTGATTACCTACGTTCAAGGAAAATACTCACTAGAGAGGACACAGAAGAAATTTCTTCTCGATCTTCCAGTAGGAAGAAAACTGGGAAGTTATTGGACTACTTGGCAGAAAACCCAAAGGGACTAGATGCTTTGGTTGAATCTATCAGACGGGAAAGAACACAAAACTTCCTGTTACAAAGGATAACTGATGTAGTTTTGAAGGTCAAAAATGAAAAACTTGAAGCTCTCAAAGGTAAGACGTTTATAATAATATTTTCTAAGACATAAGTTTTATTTTGAGGGTTTGCAAAATTAATCTCCAACAGTTACTGAGATCACGTTTCTTAGTACAGATGGGGTTGGTTGGTTGGTTTGGTTTTTTTTTCCCCCTTCTATGTTTGGGGGGACAATCTTGGAAATATCACTGGTTTCTTTGGGTGTAAGATCGTAGGGCACATGTTCTGGCTCTGCCTTTTTACTATCCGAACGCATCATAAATAATAAATTGCAAAAACAAACAACCCAAAACCTAGCATGTGTTGTTATGATATCTTCCTTCACATTTCAGTTTTGTTTTCTGTGAGGAACTCAAAATAGGTGGTTCTTGCATTTCTTTTGAAGCCATTTGCTGCAGTGGCAGGATGCTCTGGTTTTGTTAAGTTCTGCGCCTCATGAGAAGATAAGCCAGCAAATGCAACCTGAGGGGAATTCCCCCGTGTGCGTTCAGTGCCAGAACTTAGAATTAGATGCTCTAAGTGTATGCAGGTGTTGTTTGAAACAGACAGATTTTGTTGACACACAAAGTTTGAAGTGACTATATGTACTCATATTTTAAGGCAGATAAAGTATAAGCCCTTTAAACCAAAACCCTTACTTTCCCTTCCACACCCATCAGAAGAGAAATAAAGGAAGAAGTACATTCTAACCCTAGTTTCAGGTAAAACAGCCTTTAAATGCGGTCCACTTTGGAGCAGAACCATGTAGCTGAAGCTTTTAGAAGTTTGAAGAACGCAGTGAGAAAAATCTATCAAAAGATGCGTTTAAGGTCTATAGTGACTTCCTAAAATGAAGCTTAAATTATGGTGTGTTTTTGTTACGGCTGATCCAGAGAAATCATTCACATCATCCTGGATAACCTGCATGTTTTAAATTTGTTAATAATATTGGGATGTCACAGGTGAGATGAAGAGATTTATATGTTAAAATTACAGACAATTGATCTCTGACAATCTGATACTAAATCAGAGCAGAGTTTTAAAAGTGCACCACCACACTGTAATTAACTCCAGTCTGTTTTTTGTCATAGGTCTAAGCTGCAGCACCTGTATGACTTCACTGTACGGAGGAACAAATAATCTTTCTAGATCATATTCTGATGAATCTAATTTTTTTGATAAAACAAAAGACAAAGAATCTACCCAGATACATCACCCAGAAGAAGATTACAGCACTGCCGCATTTGTGTCTGCTGTCTCTCTTCACTCAATGAATTTACCTATCACAGAGATGGGAAACGCAGAGAGTGCTGTTTTCTCAGCCACCCTTCCAGGGCCTGGAGACCCCGGTGCTCCCCCACTCCCCCCAGAGCTCCAGGCAGAGCAGCAAGAACCATGTAGTAGTTTAAGTGAAAATTGTTTTCTGCCTTTAAGATCACGTTCTGTTCAACCACAGTGAACGTAGTGACTTTTGTCTGTTCATCCAGATGGTACTGAAACTCTGAGTGATGGCTCGTAAAGGTTAAAGCAATATTTTCAAACTGCTAACTAGCAAAATCGGAGGTAACAATCCATTTACTGGTTTTAAGAAGTAACGGTTTGGTTTGGTTTGGGGGATTTTTTTGGTGTTTTTTTTTTGTTGTTTTTTTTTTTTTAATAATTTGGTGACTGGAGCTGCTAGATTTAATGTTCTCTGGGAGCTGTTTTCCAAAAGATCATGGTATTAGTATTATATGAGCAAAGGGTTATTTTTTAAACCAGTGTATTTAATATTTCAGTTAGCTGCAGATCCATAATATAAGCAGGTTTTTTTTCTTCCTCCAGAAACTAAAAATCTACTTTTTTAAATGTTTTCATGACGGGTAAATTGGGAAACATGGTTAGGAAAGACACCGAGTATTGAAAAATAACTTCCTGAACTAAAAGCTTAAGCTTACTTACCAAAAAGCTTGAACTCATTTACTGAATTAAAATTTATCTTACAGAGAAACATTTGCCTTCTATGTAGGTGTGGGCAGCTCCACTTGCGAAACAAAATCCAAACTGAAAACCCAAATCTGTAGTTACACTTGCAAGAGGTCTTTTAATTGTCTCAGCTTTATCCTACTAGTCAATCAAAAGGCACTCGGTATCACAGTGATTTGAGTTAGCAAATGTACTTCCACAAGTCTTAGCATATTATTCTTGTGTATTAGTGACAGATTTCCGATTTGATGTACACTTTAAATATAAATTCTCAGTGCTGGAAGAGGAATGTAAACTGCTGTAACAGTATCATGTGGGCTATAAGAAAATGTTATTGTATAAGGCTATTAAGGAGCAAAGCTTGTATGTTTTGTCCCAGTAGGTAAGTAGAGGAGTCCTGTAGCAAGAACATATCCATACCTGAAGGACTCTTGGAAATGTTGCACTTCAGATACTTACTCTTCAAAGCAAATAGATGGGTTTACATTTCAAATTGTTTAGAGTCAAATGCATTTTAAACTATTTCAACATGGGAAGGTTCTCATTTCTTAACACAGTGTAACATGCTTTATTCCTCTCACACTCTACTCTTGTCATCTTGTTTCAAAGTTGGCCTATAATAACTTTAAAATTACTTGGCAAAGACAAACTCATATGTGGAAATGGGTACGGTTGCATTCTGCATTACACTTTAAAGTCATGGGATGTTTTGAGCATATCAAAGGGTAGGTTTCTATTTAAGGCTTTAAATTACTTTGGCTCTCAGGCAGGGTTATAGCTGTGTAATTCTATTCAAATTCAAACCCAGGTGGTATTCCTAAGCTGTGTTCTGTTGTGGAGACAGACCATCTGCACGACCCCAGTGCAGCCTCTATTTTTTTTCTTCATAATGTTTACTCTGGTTTTGGAAGTAGGTTAAAATAAAGTGCAATGTTCAGCTACCCTCCATACGTAGTATATGAATAGCTTACATTCAGTAGAGGTGTGGGCTTCTGCTCAGTGTTTATAAAAATCCTTGATTTTCTTCTATACCTCTAAGTCATGAGACTGCCTGGATGGTAAAAATGCTCTTTAACAAAAGTGCTTGGTTCAGAAGGTACTCTGGGAGTTAAGTACCTAAATATATAAGCAAAATTTTGCCTTCTTAACATGAGATTAAGGGAAGGCTTACATCACCCTTTCCCATTAACTTGAACTGTAGTTGCATGTACTTGAGATGTCTAGAATTTGATTTGTCTAAATACCCACTGTAACCACTTGAAGAGCTGTGCTCAGGTTTGGGTCCCTCCTTGGGTTCTTGTCAGTGGAGGACAGTGATCAAGCTTGGCCTTAACTGAAACAGCATTAGCTCTGGGTGAAGACTGCCGTGCAGATTGAAATCCAACCATCAGGGCCCTATACAGGGATCGCTCCTGCACGCATCCTGTAAACCTGTGGCTTTGGATGAATGTATTATCTTTCCAAATGGTTGTTAACATGCTTTTTTAAAAATGGAAATATTTTTATCACAACTTTTGGAATAAATTCTTTTGTATAACTGTCTGTTTTCCTGTCTGCCTTCCTCATTATCAACATGCACAGGGTGTAAGAACAGTTCATGCCAGTGTCTGGATGTGTGGGTTTGGGTTGGTGTGTGCAGGCAGCTTTTGTTCTCGTTGGCTCGTTAGAGAGGTTTGTCTTTGGTGCAAAGGCTGACTTAATGTGAAACAACCTTTGCCTGTGGTGCTGCATTCAGGCACAGTGTATAGGGAAAACGTATGTAAAATGAAGGCTCTGCTGCTTAATTACACTTTCTGTGGTTAATGACTAGTATTGCTAACCTGCGTCTTGCTTGTCTTTTTTCCAAATGCTTCAACTGTTGAAGCTATGAGAAGTGCTGCTTCCAGCCATGCATATATTGACTTAATTCTTAAAGTAAGATTTGTTTTATTAATAGGGAAGGAGAAAGAAAACAGTTGAGTGATGAGGAGAACGATTGAGAAAAGGATCTGCAAATGTTGCAGACTCTACTGTGTGGTTGCTTTCATCAAACTTTGTGTATAGGGTTTCTGTCAAACTAACCATCATAGTATAGGCTATGAGAGATAAGCTGTTTTATCCTTACAGTAAAGGAATTAATCCTATAGAACCAAAGCCCATTCTTTGGGCCTTACTTTGCTTTTGTGGTACCAGGTGACCTGACAGTCCTTGTAGGTGAATTTTAGCTGATGTAGATAATATGGACCTTGTTTACAAGGGAAGCCCAGTACAGGCTTTTTCCACCAGGTTTGAGAAGCCTTGTTTGGGTAAGGACAGCCCGAGTGTCTGGTTCAGCACCGGGAGGTGATGGTTGTGGCTTCATCTGCTCTGTTCTGGCCGGCGTTCGAACACAAGGAAACCGTGTTTTCCTCTCCACGTCGCCGTGCAGGTGTATAAAAGGAGACACGGGGGTTGTCTCGATTTCACGTCTGGTTTTCTGTCTCTGCCCATAGAGCGGAGAAACTCCGGGGCGCACGGAGCGGGCGCGGAGAGCCCCGCTTTTCCCTCCTCCGGATTCATTTCGTCATGTGCAGACCGGGGCCCTCCCACACGGACACACGCGTGGGGTTGGCCCCTAGGGCCCGGCTGGGGTTGCGGCGGCGGCAGGCGGAACCTTCGTCGCGGGCCCTGTTTCCGTGCGGTTGGTGTCGCGGCGGCAGCCCCGCCATGGCGGCGGACGGAGGGGACCCGCTGGGGTATTTCGCGGCCTACGGCAGCTCCAGCTCGGACTCAGAGGCCGAGGAGCCGCAACCCGACGAACGGCAGGCGGAGTCCGGGGCGACGGCGGGGGGCAGCCCGGGGAGGCGGGCGCGGCTGCCGTCACCCGACGAGCTGTTCCGTAGGGTGTCGCAGCCGCCCGCCTTCCTCTACAACCCGCTCAACAAGCAGATCGACTGGGAGAGCCGCGTCCTGCGGGCGCCCGAGGAGGTGAGGGCACGGATGGGGCCGGGCGCTGCCGCCGCCCCGGGTCCGCGGCCTGGTGTGACGGGACGGGTCTGTGCTCTCTCCTGCAGCCCCCCAAGGAGTTCAAGGTGTGGAAGAACAACGCCGTGCCCCCGCCCGAGAGCTACACCCCGCCCGAGAAGAAGCCCCCTCCGCCCCCTGGCCTGGACATGGCCATAAAGTGGTCCAATATCTATGAGGACAACGGTGAGGACGCGCCGCGGCAAACGGGCAGAGCCAAGTTCCTGCCGGAGGAGGAGCAGGAGCACCTCGAGTCGGGTGAGGGCCCGGCGCAGGGCAGCGGTGCCTGCACGGAACGCGTGTTTACCGGTTGTGTGCGCGGAGCCCACCCTCCACGGAGCTGGGCGACATGGTCTAGTGTGAGGTGTCCCTGCCTGTGGCAGGCGGTTGGAACTGGGTGAGCTTTAAGGTCCTCTCCAACCCAAACCAGGCTGTGATTCTATGCAGTGCTGCCGGCAGCGCCAGTGGCTATAGGCATGGTGACTGTAGAGGTATCTACTGGTGTGCCCAGAGCACAACCTCCTTGTGCCCCGGCCATTGTCATTAGCCGAAGCAGGTCTTTGCCTGTATCTTGACTTCGTGTCTCAACACCACTGGGACAGCAAGGACTCCTCAGCTATAGAGTCTTTCCCTGTATTGGAGGAAGTGTTTTCTGGGCATGGTAACTAGAGGAAAATGGAATTGTTCTGCAGTGATCATCTAGTTTAAATGGTGGGCTGGACAATGGACATCAGCTGATGGTGGACACAGGCTTGGTAGAGTCAGTGGAAATCCAGTGCTGTGCAGGGCTTTACTTCAGTGTTGGTCTATAAGAGCATCCTGCAGGGTGCATGTTTTGGGAAGAAAGGGTGATACAAACTCGGCAGCATTATGTTTACAGTTGGACTCAATGATATTAAGGTCTTTTCCAACCTAAATGATTCTGTGATTCAAGAGTCTTTAGAGCTGTATTTATATGAAATAGGCTCAGTTATAGTACTGCTAAAACAAAGTGGTGTGAGGGCTTCCTTAAGCACTGCTGTCTTGGCTCTGGGTGTAGATGTAGGTCTGATTGTTTTTATAACGTTTGTAAAACCTGGGGGCCAAGAGTGTAGTTAAATGTCCATGTGACAGATTACTGTCCTTGTCACTCTTCATGCTGGTACAAGCTGTAGTGGTAATCTCAGAAGTAAAGGAATAGTTGACAGGAGGGAGATATTTTTAATTTATCTTTTTTAATTGCTGGAGAAAGAGACTAGGCAGCAACAATCAGAACAAAACCAGAAACAGAAATTCTGGGCTTTCAGAACACATAACAGTGTTTTGGTTCACCAGTAAAGTTGTCAGCAAAGGAAGGTTTTATTGCTCTCTTGCTCCTTTTGTTGTTGGGGGTGTTCCTTCCCCAGGGCAGTTATTCTGTCTTTGTCTCACTCCACTTCTGGATGCTTTTTAGTGTTTTCTCCTAGACATTTCTCTTAGCCTTCATCTAGAGATGAAGAAGATAATCTGCTAATTTACCTGGACATTACTTCTAAAATGTAATTTTCTAACATTTTATCTTATCTGTTCAAATAATAAGGGTTGTTTTTTAGAACGGGTACTGTACAGTAGCATAGCAAAGCCTCTTGTTAGTTATCCTCAATGGCCTGTGGTAGGAATAGCA